CTCCATTCAGAAAAAGTGAGCTCAAGACTGACTGGCTCTCTGGGATAAGCAGCCTCTCCCGCAAGGCCATGATGTGTGTGTGTGGGGGGAAACCAGCTCCTCAGAGGTAGTTTCCCCCCCCCCGCTTCACTTTTAACACCTTTGGAGGTGGGGAGAGGATGCTGAGAGAGGAGGTTTCCATGCAGAGGGCAAATCAGGCCTGTGGGCAAGCGGAGGGGAGGCTCCAGCTGTTCCCACCCCTTATCCCATCATTCCCTAGGCTGGCTGGGCTGATGGGAACTGTTATCCAACAACATTTGCCAACATCTGCCCCAAAGGTTCTACTAAGAACTCTGACTTCTATCCAGTTAACTGACACCTGGGGAAGTGCTTACTCTTTTTTTATTGTTGTTGTGATTTTTGAAGTGCTTACTCTTGTGTGTGCATGTGTGCGCGCATCCACATGTGTAAGGAAATAACTGAACCCGTTGGTGCGTGGTGACTCCTCCTCGGAGTCCTCCTGGCTCTCTCTGGGCAAAGTGACCCCTCCCTGATTTCTCTTCAGAAACGATAACATTTAGCTTGATATTACTGCCATGAATTCTCTGGTCAGTACCTCTGTCTCTCCTTACCCCTAACACTGCTTATTCTCACTCTTACACAAACACACAACAACAACAACAACAACAACAACAACAACAACAACAACAACAACAACAACAATTCCCAGGTTCCCTCAGGAAAACATATTACTGTTGATCCAGAAGAGCTGCCGCGAAGGCACGGCTCTCCCAAAAACGTAACTTCCTCAGCTCTGTGATGAAAAGCAGGAAGATCAAAAACCCTCTCTTCGGAAAGAAGAAAGTAAAGGAAGGTTTACAATAAAGGCTGCTTCCTTTATTTCAAATATATAATTAAATCTGGAATATCTGTTTAATTAAAGAACAGGTGTAAAATTGGGTTGGTCCCATCGGGGCCTGGCGTTGCTCCGGGATTGTGATTATGATTACCATCAGCAGGACTCCTCCATTTGGGCAGACACAGTCTGTGCCTTCCCAGAGTATGCATGATTTATTTATTTTATATGTGAACCTGTGCTTTCTGGCAACAAGGCCTGAAAAGTGGCCAAGATCTGGGATACTGCATCCGACAGCCTGCCTGAAACCAAGATGGAGAAAGAAGGCAGGTGATTATTTTCCTGCAGAATGGAAGGAAAGGCCATTCTCACCCCTTCTGCAAGTGCATCTGATGCCACTTCACATACAAGACACATCCGCTCATCAGATCTCTAGGCAGGAAAAACAAAATTGCATCCCCAGATTCAGGATCCCACTGTAGAGACAGCCTCCTTTCCGCAGAGAGGGGGGACCGAAAAGCAGTATCACCCAGGGGCAGAAGCCTCATTTTAGGCAACAGCCCAGCTAAGCCCATGGGACCCACCCCAGCTGCACACCCGCCAGCCACACTGGGCTCATTTGCCTCCCTTCAAACCTGTAGATTCAAGAAATATAGTATCAGTTCCAGACAAGTGAACTCTTCCAAGCTCTGCTTTTAACCTCTAGTAGCCTTCAGAAAGAAACAGATCCACAATTCCACATTCAGCCCAACCTTGTTTATACCCCACACCCATCAATCTTGCCTCAGTCTGTTTCTCTCTGGCTCATGCTGGCCAGACGATGATCCATGTTTTGCATTTCTTTTCTTTTCTTTTTCCCAGTTCCGTCATGCTCACCCCTGACAGGATCTCCTTGTTCCCTCCCAAGACTTGACCTCTCTTAGGATAAACATTGGCATTTGTACCTCTGACATTTCTCTTGGCCTCCATCTTTCTCCCACCCAAGCCTGTAACTCCACACATCAGAAGGACACAGGCACTTGCAGTCCATGATGGTTAACACCCACCCCCCGCAGAGCCCACTCCTCTTCAAAGGGCAATTGCATTCCCCCACTCCTTCAAAGGCCAAAATGACGCATACAAAACAGCCCTAACAACACACCGCTTTGAACCCTCTGCCCGGCCCTCCGCGCGAGTGGACCTACCTGGAGGCCGCAATCTCGGCTTTCTGCTTGGCGATGGTGGCTGCCCGCTCGGCGGCTTCCATGGCACGGTCAACCTTCTCGCGGATCTTGCTGGCCCTCAACGGGATTAGGTTCTTCCTCTTCCCGCTCACCAGGATGTTCTGCTTGTACTTCCCCTCCTCCTTGGTCCCGTCCGGGAAGGTCATGCAGCCGTACCCATGGCGCTTGTTGCTGGCCCACTCGCCCTCGTACTTGAGCCCATCTGACCGCTGGCTGACGCCGAACCCAGAGCGCTTGTCGTTCTTCCACTCGCCCACGTAGATCTCGGTGGTGGTGGCGTCGATGTCGTCCTCGATGACCGACAGCTCTGCCTCCCCCTCGCCCAGGCTGATGGTGGAGTTGATGTCACTGGCCGTGGAGCTCACGGTGCTCATCCCAGCCTCGCTGCGGAAAGAGCTCTGCTTGCTCCGCTGGCTGGCCAGCGAGCTCTTGGACTCGGACTTGCGCAACTTGAGCCCACTCAGCAGCGACCGGCGGAAGAGGCCTTTCTTTTTATTCTTGAGGATCTCGGCATCGCTGTGGGCCATGAGGACAAACCCCCCTCGAGAGATCGCTGGGCTCCCGGCCACGGCAGGGGAAGAATCTGGGTGCAAGGCGGTGCCATTGGTGTGTTCGCTGCGCAGAGAATTGATGGAGGTCCTTAATGGAGACCGGATAACTGCAGCCATGCCGTATGGGACGCTCTGCCGGACGCCGTACCCCTGGCGCATCCCGCCAGCCCACTGGCCCTGGTACGTCCCTGTGAGCAAAGAGGCGAGAGAGGAAAGGAGCTGGGTTGGCAGGCCCCACACCGGTGGCCGCTCTGGGCTCAGGGCTACCAGCCGGACCACCCATCACAGGAGAGCCAGTCAAAATGCGGTCTCCCGGAGCTGGGAAAATTTACTTTTGGGAACAGAACTCTCCACATGTCTCTGGCAGCCTGGCTGCATGAGGATTCTGGGAGAGGTAGTCCCAGAAAGTCACTTTTCCAAGCACGGATCCTTCCTTTGGTTGCTGCTTGTGACACACACACACCCCAAGACACTACAAACAGATTTGCAGGGAAAGGTAACAGAAGCAGACAGAAAGGATTAATAGAGGATTTAGAAGATTAGCAGCAGGAAACAGGGAATGATCAGCAATTAGGATGGGGACCAAGAGGAGAGCTCAGTGCCAGCCACAAACTGGAGTCCAAACAAACTTTCCCCAGAAAAAACAGTGACCAGCCAGGAAAACTCCTACTCAGAAGGAGGGAGAGCAGCAAGCACCCAGCACCAGCACCAATGCTGCTGAGGGCACCGCACAGAGGGCTAGTCCTGCAACCTTTGGCAGGTGGCACCTTCCCCACTCTGGGCTGGAAGGTCCTCAGGGCCACCCCGGTGTGTGTGTGTGTGTGTGTGTGTGTGGCACCAATGCTGCTGAGGGCACCGCACAGAGGGCTAGTCCTGCAACCTTTGGCAGAGAGAGAGAGAGAGAGAGAGCTGCGGCTCCTGTTCATCTGAGGGTGCCTTCTATTGCAGTTTTCCCCCTCTCCTGCCAGCAGACTGTTGCAGACACTGAAGAGGTGCTGCTAACTTCATCTCAATGCCTGGATAACCTACACCTGATGAACCACTGTCTGTCAACACCAGGTAAAAGCTCACAGCCTTTCTCAAGAAAAGAGGTAAGTGATGGCAAGATCTGAAGAGGGAGGCTGACCTAAGTGGCAGGGCATGTTAAAGTGGTGGCAGGACCTTTTGCCTGACAGAAGAAAGAACTCGGAGAGACATCCAGGCCTCCGGTTCTCAGCACTGATGTGGGCAGCTGTTCAGGCTACAGATGATGCCCAGCTGCTATGTCACTCTCTCCCCCTGCAGTGACTGTGGCTAGTAAAGCCCATGGCAAGCTCATCGTAAGTTACCCCAGGGTCACTTGCCATTACAGGAATCACCACCACTCCCTTTCATGCAAACACACACAGAGGGGTGGTGGAGGGAGTGAGGGAGTTCTAGAAGCCATCTAAAGCATGGGACTGTGGCTGACCCTCCTTGTCCTGGACCTTCTCCTCTGGGACCAACAGTTGGAAAGCTACTTCTTCTGGACTGGACTGCACACAACTCCCAATAAGAGTGAGTGAGTGAGTGAGTGAGTGAGTGAGTGAGTGAGTGAGTGAGTGAGTGAGTGAGTGAGTGAGTGAGTGAGTGAGTGAGTGAGTGAGAGAGAGAGGACTATCCACAAATGGTGAGATCACACCAGTAGGAATGGGTGTCATTACCCATCCTCTCTCCTGTTTTCTTCTCTCAAGAGCTGCATCCTAACATCCTAACATTCTTATAAATAGAAGCATCTTTCGACATAGGGTTTGGGCAGCCCTCTGAGGATGTTGACATGCCTCTGTTGAATTCCTTGAACCCTGGAGAGTTGGCAGGTTTGGACTTCTCTGCCTGCAATCTCAATTAAATAAAACACTTCTGCTTCAATTTGAATTGATGCAATTAAGTAAGGCATGTCAAATGGACATGGGTTAGGAATCCAGTTAACGAACAGAGTGGGACTGTACATGCTTGCTCCATCAACAGTTGTCCAATCTGACTGAAACAAATTGGTTGTGAATTGGAACATGTTTGTTTGTTGGTACACATAACTAAAATGACAAATTTCCAATTTGACCTCCAGGATTTGAACTCCTTCAGAGTCACCCAATCTGTTTTGTTGCGTTCATCACTCAGCCAGCACGACCGACCGACCGACCCGTCTGGGATGGTGACCTCATTCTCAACTTCTTGCCCTTTGGTTGAAGCGACAGAGAAAACGGTTCCATCCTGAGGGAAGCGACCAGCTCTTCTCCTGGGAGGCCCAACGGAGGATCCAACTCCTCACCTCTCCCTTCACAGCCCGTTGTCCAACTCACGGGGTGAGCTGTTCCTGGCGACGGCAGCAAAAGCAACAACGTCCGAGAGCAACTCTAAGGGCAAGCAGTTCTTTCGTGGCAGGAGATTTAGCGGAAGGGAGCACAGATTCCGCTCATGTGTCACATGTTAAGTGGCTTTGCTGCTACTGCCAGGATGTTTGTGCAATTATCAGCAGCAGGTTTGTGAATGGTCTTTTTTTAAAAAAAGTTATTGTCAGCCCTGTGTCTTCCTACTTCCTCTAGCCTGACTTCTCCCAACCCCGGCTGATTGTCTTTAATATCTAATGAATCAGTCCTTCTTTAAGGTGCTGCAGGACCGCCTGTTGCTTCCCCATGCATCTCTGAAATGCTAGGAAACACATCAGAGAGCTGATGAATAAGCAGGGAAACCTCATGCGATACTTCATGTGGGTCTTCGAGGCACCACAAGACTTCTGGCCATTTATTTATTTTTATTTATTTATTTATTTTATTTATATCCCGCCTATCTGGTCGGGTCAGGACCACTCTAGGCGCCTCCAACAGGTGCACTCACATACGCCCTTTCTGGCGCTCTTCTCAGATGCTTTTGGAGGAGTTAGTGTAGGACCTTTCTGCCTTAACTAGTCACATTTAATCTTATTCTTCCCTGCCCTTCTTTCTCCCTCAGGGGCCAAGGAAAACGGGACAATATCTGAGGCAGAAATGGGGAGCTCTACTACTGTTTGGGCAGATGGGGGGCTACCACCCCCCCAAACCCTCAGTACACATACCTCAGCTATCGGGATGGTATGAGATGTCCTTTGGCTCAGAGGCAGAGGGCTTCGTTAACAAGCCCAGAAACCAGAGGCCATCCCTGGCTTTGGCAACCAGAAAGAAGTCGCCAAGCGTTTAGAGCTTGTACGAGCCCATTCCCCCCCTTTGTTGAACTGATGGAAATTTGGATCTACACACATACACACACACACACACAGAGAGAGAGAGAGAGAGAGAGAGACTTCACTCCCAACTCGTCAGTGCAGTAGCTGGCTATCCTCTTGGCCACAACCAAAGTGTTGTTGAGTTTCGCCTTCTAACGGAGGCATTTAGTTGTGCTTTCTAAAGGAGCCGGCGATGTGGGGACTCCTTCCCACCAGAGAGGCTGAGCAGTTTGGCTTCTTCCAGACCACAGGTGTCTAAGCAACAGCGTGTTTCAGAAAACCCCAAGGGATCAGGCAGCCAACAGCAGGGTTGCATCGAGCAGGAGCTCATGAGAGATGGCAGGGAAGAAATGGCTCCAGCAAAAGGCAGACGGTCAGCGCCATGGCAGAGAATGTTCTGCAGCAGGAATCTTGATAGATGCATTTGCAGCAGCAGGAGGAGGAGGAAACTGACTCACTCTGAGAGCATGGGAAAGCAAGGATGCTGGAGCATGGGGGGGAG